TCGATCAATGTTTATTCATACCACATCTATAACATTTATTTTCAGAATATTAACTTGATCCATTTTTATTCTTTTTTCATAGTTTATCCACTTTTAGCGGTGATGTGTATTATTATGGTCATCATAATTATAACGATAATTATTCCTACCATGTCCATAACTATGACCACATCTTTGTCCATACTCAAAATTATTATAAGTTGTCATATTCACTTTAGAGAATGGAGTAGATCCAGTTGAGCAAGATTTATTATTTTTTATCAATAGCTCATTATTTTATTTAGGTACGAGCAAGTATGAAATCGATTCAGAATATTTTTTAAAATTTTTTTTCTCAATATTGCTATTGTAGGAGCATATTCGAGATGTGAAAAGTAGAGAATATTTACTCATTATCAAGCACCATGATCAATAATTCTTGCTCGAAATAACAAAGGCCATAAAATTAAATTTTATGAGATTTGATATGATAAAAATTTTATAATACAAAGTATAGTAGTAGTAGTAGTAGTAGTAGTAATAATAATAGGAAATAAGAACAAAATATAATAATAATTTTTTTAAAAAATATAATAATAAAATTTAAACTTTTTAAACAATATATATTAGATCATTAGATTATATATATTAAATTATTTAAGTTTTTCAAATGTATACTCTATGTATCATTAGATTTAAAGTATATGATAAATTAGATACATACCTCTTAATGATTTAGATAATTTAAATCTTTTAGTAGAGCACTCATATAGAGAAACAATCCAATGATTGAAATAAATAATTGAGTCTTTTGGTAGATACATACCTTATGGTCTATTATCTCGATTGGTTAGAGCTTAATGCTAATTACATGTTATAAAACAAATGGTAACAATGGTAGAATTAAAGATAAAGATGATAGTAAAATAAATTCACTATAAAATAAAATGAATACAAGAGATAACAACTTCAAATGATTCTCTCAACCTCCATAAAATACATGTACACAAACTAATAAACAATCAAGCTCGTGTAGCCTATTTATAGGCTTTAAGATTAGGATGAGAATTGAAAATGACTATTAACCATTAAAAATATATAAATTGTTAAATCAATTGCATTATCCTTTCAATATATCATATTTGAATGATGAATTAAATCACATTAAGAATTATGAGTAGTAGGAATATGAAAAGTACATGAAAATTTTCATGGATATTCATTATTTCATAGCAATAATATAAATAGTGTTATTATTATTTTACTATTATTATAAATCATAATTTTCAATCTCGATGGCTATCGCTGTTACATATATGTCTGCTATTGAAAACTTTGTTCTACCTAAAAAGGGCGAGTTTTAAAGATTTGGATTTTAATTCTTATCTTTTTGCTATAATATAGGATTTTTATCCAATAATACGATGGTCTATAATTTACATCAACACATCCATATATTTTCACAAGATATTATTGTGCTTGGTTGGTGACCTATTTATTTATCTAGCTCTTGTTATGTATTTATATTTTGGATTTGTATCCAATTTTGAATCTTGTTAGAACATACCCCACATTGAATAGTTAAACCAATAACAAATAATATATAAAGTTAAGAAGGGGCCACCCACTACAAAGCTTAAGTCTTTTAGATGAAATCCAATCTCAACTATCTAACTCTAATATGGTATTAGAGCTTGGTTGACCTTGAGGTCTCGAGTTCAAGTCTCACAATCCCTAATTTCTCAAGTATTAAGCACAAAGGAATGTAGACTCGTGCACGTTTCATGCTCCAAATGTTGGGCCTTTCACTTAAGAGGGTGTGTTAGAGACTAATATAAATTATATTCTAGGGCCTCACCTATTAGCTTAAGCTTTTAGGTGAGATGATCCTTTAATATGGTATCGAACCTTAAAGATGCCCAACAGTCTAGAAAGATCCTGGAGCCTAAGCCACTTGACGGACCCCAAAAGATAGGCTGCAAGTGAGGGAGAGTGTTAGAACATATCCCACATTGAATAGTTAAATCAATAACAAATAATATATAAAGTTGAGAAGGGGCCACCCACCACAAAGCTTAAGTCTTTTAGATGAAACCCAATCTCAACTATCTAACTCTAATAAATCCGTTTAACAACATCCATTACCTATCTATTAACTATCATATAACAAATTTTAAATATTTAAATCCGATCGAAAACAATAACTATTCAGAAAAATCCATGAGTTACTTCAATTAGATTTCCACTAGTTTCAAATAAGTTTGCATCCTTTCATTCTTGAAAGACCACTTTCTTCCTTATAAAACACTCATTGTAAAAAAACTCGAACAATATAGGTTTTTATTATAGCTAAACTCATGTTATAATATTCTTAAAATGGTATTGTTTTGAGTTTTTTTTAGTTTGAAATCACACCGTTTTTACAATTCTTCTTTTTTGATAAAACAATCTCTTTTAGACAAAAAAATTTAAATGGTTTCTTGGAAATAATTTCACTTTGGAGGTTTGTAAAAAAATAAAAATAATAGAGAATAAATAATGAATTTTTAAAAGAAAACACTTCCAGTATCCATATTTTTTCTCTTCCCAAAATGAATGGGATGAAGAATATGAGCAGACACGCAGAATCTCCAAAACAAAACATTGGAGGAAGAGGACAACATATAAAAGAGAAATGTTATCATTTAAAGCAAGTTCTAGACCACAAACAATTCCATTTTCTAGCTGGCCATTCTTGTCATGCATTGTTGAGACTTGAGACCCAAGACTGATCATGCAAGGGACAGGACAAATTGTACATTTCAAGAATTTTTGTTTGCTTATTAGCTCTAACATTCACTGCCCATCATCCTTGGAACAACTAAGTCAGCCTTTCTTCAACTTTCTAATCTTTTTTATCTCACAGGTGACGCCTTTCAAGTTTGGATTTGAAATTTCTGCTTGAAAATTCCAAATTTTAGCTTGAATGTTCTTGATTTGCAAATTTTAATCAACTCTCCTACCCAATACAATTGGAAACTGAAAATTCTGAATTCTGAACACAAAACCTCAAATCTGTTTCATTCTGGGAAGAATGTTGAGCAGAGTGTAGAAAAATAGATAAATACAAATCAGTCCCCCAACATATAGAAATATCACTAGCAAAGTAGTCCATGACATTTTTTTTTTTAATGAAAATCGATCAGATTAAAAAGAGAAGAGACTATCTAGTCAATGACAGAAAAAAAAAAAAAAAATTACAAACCAGAAACAAAAAAACTAAAGTCAAGCAAAATAATCTTTTTGTTTATCTATTTCTTGTAACCAAGTTATCTGCAATCATGTTAACTTCTCTAATAATTCCAATAAAATTGATTAATTTCAAATTACGAATAAAAAAATCTATACACATAAAATTGTTATTTATTTTTCATGGCTTTAATTACATTAACTTCTTGATCAACCCAAAATACTGCATCAATAGAATAAAATTCTACGATTCAATTCACCTCTCGAGAAAGACGATGAGAAAAGGTTACCTTCAAAACTTTATTAGTCTACAACTTACCAGATCCTACTAATTTATCTCCAATCTTTTGTTGCCTTAACAAGTTAGTGATTTGTCTTTGTCTTCAAGTTAACGTTTTTATATGATGTTTTAACTTTTAACTCGTAAATTAAAGTCCTAAATTAGATATTATTAGTACTAGGAAACCATATATAGTTTTCCTTGTTAATCGCCATAGATAAGTGTGTATATGAGACTAATTGCTTAATCAAGTGGGTTAAACTTATTACGACAATTCTTTCTTACAATGGGAAGTATGAGAGTGATTTTTGATAGGGTGGTAATCTTTTCCATTTATGTTTGCGATTCATTTAGTGTTAGTATTTTTAGTTGTTTATTTGATCAAATGCAGGTTTAAAGTAGATTTCATAAATCCTGCCTTCTGCACGGCCCTCTAACTTTTTTTTTTTTTTTTTTTTTTATCAATCATGTCCTCCACATTGTGTTATTATTATTATTATTTTCGCTAATGATTGACTTAGTTTTTAATGTTGTGTTTGTTTGCAACATGTGGACCTTGAATTGCGTTATAATATGAGATTTTCATGTGTGGATGCAGCAATGGAAGATGATGATTCACTCCACTTTAATTAATCAATTATTACCGTTAATTTATGCATGATTGCTTGGTACTTAAATCTCTTTGTGATCACTTTCCACCTAAGAAAAGTATAGGTGTTCAAATTAGCAATTTGATCACATTGGTATGTTTCTCTCCCTTGTCTTATTGGAATGGCTGAGAAAATAGTAGTGAGGGACTACGTGAATTTTCTTTTGGGTGGTTCATGGTAATAAGATAATATTGCTCTTAAAAGAATAAACCTTTTTTTTAGTAAATAGGATCCGAATTTTATTAAAATCTTTTTAGATTCTCAAAGAAACTTAAATTCCATTTCAAATGAAAGCTTTTTAATTTTGAAATTTGCAAAACAATTATCATTATTTTGTGATGGATTTTTTTAAAGTAGAATTCACAATTTTTACTTTAATAAAAGAATACAAATGATAACATAAGTAGACCTAAATAAGTATAATATAACAGTTGTATACTTAGTAGCTTTTTTAAATAAATCAGATTTAATTTGATTTCTAGTGACTTTTACTTTATTTAGTTATTATGTAAAATGGCAGAATTATTTTTTATAGATGGAATTTGAATTCATAACCATTTGAATATAATAATTTCAATTCAACAAGTTAAGTCAAAGAAAGTTGATAATATTAGACTCCATAAAACATTTATCGTCAATGATCAGAAGCAGCCCACGGTAACAATGATTTCACGTTTGATTATATTATGTGGACAACGAGATATATATGGAAAAATGAAAAACAAGAATTCTGTACGTCTCTTCCTCTGTATAAACTGTAGTATATAACTGTAAGTTATGTGGTTCAGGACAAAGCATTTATTTGATCAGCTCAAATTCAAGAAGAAGAGAGAAAAAAAGAGCAAGAAAATTTCTCAAGGATTATGAACTCCGATCCTTTAAGAACGAGCTTCAAGCTCTCGTTCCATGGTGAGACAGTGAGCGGTGAGCTTGAACAAATACTCACAGATACTGAAGCACCATACTTTAAGAGAATCCGGTCAGCTTCTTGGGTTGAACTGAGATTGCTTTTCCAGCTTGCAGCTCCGGCAGTGATAGTTTACTTGCTCAATAATGTTGTTTCCATGTCTACTCAGATCTTCTGTGGTCATCTTGGAAACCTTGAGCTTGCTGCTGTCTCTCTTGGGAACACTGGTATCCAAGTTTTTGCCTACGGCCTTATGGTAATACCTCCAAACTTTCTCACATAGTTCATGCATAGATGATCTTGATAGTTCTCGTTTCCTTTCTCTCTCTCTCTCTCTTTCTCTCTCTCTCATTTCCAGCACTTTACCTTTTAAAACTTTATTTACTAGAGTAAGGATTTGGAAGTATGGGATTTTCTTGTGATTTTCTTTTGAAAATCCTGTAGGGCTAAAAGGTGGATAGGAAAAAAAAAAAAAGAATATTTTGCACAATCCTCCATAGATTTCTCTTTCCAGTTATCTGTTCCTTTACTATTCTTCTTGTCTCCTGTCAATCAACTAGGGGCTGGGTTTGTTAAAATTTTTCAAACCTTCTATATCAAGTGGAGAATTCTCCCCTAGTTTTTGTTAAAGAAGTTTGTCTTTTTTGTTGCAGCTTGGCATGGGAAGTGCGGTAGAAACTCTATGTGGCCAAGCTTATGGGGCAAATAGATATGAAATGCTTGGCATATACCTCCAAAAATCAATCATTCTCCTCACGGCAACAGGTGTTCCTCTGATGGTGATCTATATATTTTCCAAACCTATCTTGATCTTACTTGGAGAACCAGTCAACATAGCATCAGCAGCTGCAGTTTTTGTCTATGGACTCATCCCTCAAATTTTTGCTTATGCTGCCAACTTTCCTATTCAAAAGTTCTTGCAAGCACAGAGCATCATTGCACCTAGTGCATACATAGCACTAGGTGCGCTTGTGATGCATCTTTTGCTCACTTGGCTTGCAGTCTTCAAATGGAACTGGGGCTTGTTAGGTGCAGGCCTTGTGTTGAGTTTATCTTGGTGGATCATAGTGTTGGCTCAGTTTTTGTACATTGTAACGAACAAGAAGTGCAAAAACACATGGAATGGTTTTAGTGTGCAGGCTTTTAGTGGCCTTTGGAGCTTCTTCAAGTTGTCTGCTGCATCAGCGGTAATGTTATGTTTGGAGACTTGGTACTTTCAGATTTTAGTCCTCATTGCTGGATTGCTTGAAAATGCTGAGATTGCATTAGATTCACTCTCAGTTTGGTAAGTATTTAACTAGACTTGGTTCTTTCAGATTTTTTATTCATGGTTAACGTACTAGCAAGTGTTAATGAATAGTAGAGAAATTTGATGTAATTGGGAGTTTCGCTCTCTTTTACCCTTAATAATATCCACACAAAGAGAAATGATTTAACGGTAAGCGAATTGTCTTAATTTCATCAAAATCAAGATTCAATTCTCATTAATCACGAATAAATCATAATTATTTTTTTTAATAATATTAGTTTTAAATTAATACTAAATGTGTTTTGATGTAACCTAACTTCAGAGGTGAATTAGACATGATAATCCCAAAAGTTTCACAAATACCATATATATATATATATATAAAGCATATTGCTTTTTCAGTTACCTTTAATGTACGTGGCTGAATTACCTTTAATGAAAGTGGCTGAATCGTTGACCCTGTTATTCCTCTCCCTTTGTAGCATGACAATATCAGGATGGGTTTTCATGATTTCAGTTGGATTTAATGCTGCTGCAAGGTCAGTTTTTTTCTTTATGTTGTAAAAAAAAAAAATTAAGATAAAACCATTTATTTTACTGGAGCATGACATTAATTACAGGCTATTGACACTTGCTTGATTTTGAACAGTGTGAGAGTGAGCAATGAGCTAGGAGCAGGACATCCAAAATCAGCATCATTTTCAGTCTTTGTGGTGACTTCATGCTCATTTGTAATCTCAATAATTGCAGCCATTATCGTGATGATATTTCGAGACTCCATTAGCTATATCTTCACTGAAGGTGAAGTTGTTGCGAAAGCCGCCTCTGATCTCTCTCCATTTCTTGCTGTCACTCTCATTCTAAATGGCATTCAGCCTGTTCTGTCTGGTAAGAACCTTTACCAAGTATTTGTTTCTTTTGTTTTGTTTTGTACTATATATTTAGCAAGCAGAAAAACTTTTTGTAATGGTAAAAAGTTATCTGACTTCATATAAATTTGTCTGTTTCGAAGGGGTGGCTGTTGGGTGTGGATGGCAAGCATTTGTTGCTTACGTAAATGTAGGATGCTACTACATTATTGGTGTCCCACTAGGGGTGCTTCTTGGCTTTACCTTCGACCTTGGTGCCAAGGTAAAATCATGGCCTTGATTCAATTTCATCAAATTTTGAAGTACCACGCAGCCAAATGCAGAAAACAAAATGTCCAGAGTTATGTTTGTCCATTGAAGATATCTAATTAATTTAGTTTGTTTACTATGTTTTCTACAGGGAATATGGTCAGGCATGTTAGGAGGCACCCTTTTGCAAACTCTAATTCTTTGTTGGGTTACTTTGAGAACAGATTGGAATAAAGAGGTATATAAACTCAAATCTCATGTTAATTACATTAACTTTTCAAATATGACTCTAATTAAACAAAATCAATGTATTTATATTTATCAAGTGATATGAATTCTAAAATTCTGATAGACATAATTTATTTAAAACACTTGAAACTTTTGGTAAGTCATCAATCATCAATGATAAATATAGATAATTTACCTTGTTAGTGAGATCCAGCCTTCAAATCTGACCCTGAATTTTCGTGGGACGATCGTCATCATCACAAGTCACCGTCTGAAGAATAGGCTGGCCATGTCCATCTCATGATGACAAAATCACTTTTGGCCCATAGTAATTAAGGTGACTTGGCCAGCCACCTTTGACAGCAATCACAGATCTTTTAGTCTGTCATTTTCCCATTGAAGTAACCTGCTCTAAAATCCATGTATCCAACGACGATACACATCTCTTTATATGCTTTCTTATGATCGAATGCCTGACAACATTACATCTGCAGATGGATGAGATATCCCATGCTTTCTAAAATAAGAGTTGGTTCAGACATTTATAAATTAGCCCCTCTAGTTTTTCATAACAAATTAAATAGTCTTTTTAGTTTCAAAAGCTAATTAATTATTTTTTATGTTTTAAATCTATTTGTAAATTAATCATATTTCTTTTTTTTTTTAAGAAATAAAATAAATAAATAAATAAATGAAAAGATTGACAAGAAAAAAAAAAGATTCAAATAATATTGACTTAACTGTGATAATACTATTTAAGAGACTAGTGAATTAGTTTTTAAAACAAAAGAAATTATTTAATTCGTTTCATCATTAAAACAAATTAACTGCTATGTAAATTGAACTCATTCTATATTTTGATTAATGCAATGAATAATCTAATTTATATTAAAATATTCTTGATTTTTAGCTAAAATTAGTGGTAAAATGATTAGTAACAATTTGTGTCAAAATTTACAGGTGGAGAGTTCTAAAAACCGGTTGAGTACATGGGATGACAAAAGGCAGCCTCTTCTGCAGTAGTAGAGTGGATTTTGTGAAGTGTGAGACTGGTTTTTGAACTTGGGACTCGATCATGTTCTGAAGATAATAAATCTTTTGTCCTTCTAGTCCATAAAGGATGAGCTCTTAACTTGGCTCTAATTCAACTCTACCTGTATTAATTGCTTTTATTGTTTTTTGAGCCACTTTCTTTTGGCTCCTCCTTAATTTGTCTTTAAAATAACTTCCATTCAGATAATGGTAAGTTGATGGTGATGTATAGGGATGATTTCATGGATAATTAAAACAAGAAGAGAACCTTGCCGATAATGTTAAGGTTGATGGTGATGGCGAAGTTGATTTATAGGGATGATTTCATGGACAACGAAGCTGTTTCTTAGATGATTGGAGTCTAAAAAAATAGTAAATACAAATATGAGCCCCAACTTACCAAATCCTTGACTTAACAAGTTTGTCTGTGTCCCCTTGTTAATGTTTTTTATGGAACATGTCAACTTTGGCAAAAATCATGTGAAAACCAAGTGTTTTAGGATTATTAGAAATACACCCAATTTTTTAAGTCTTAAATGCTATCTCTCTCTACACCAAAGGTAATTTGATTGGCATGCTTTTAATTTTTTTTTTTTTTTTTTGGAGGACTAATCTTCTAAAATGAATGGTATGAAGCAGATGTTTAAAGATCTTCGCTTGGCAGGCTGCATCTCTTGCATCAATAAGTGGTCTTTTATAGTCCTTTATTTTTTTTTGACTTTTTAGGTGTAGACACCTTTGTTCAGTATTTTTTATTTTTTTAATTATGTGTTTTTTGGTCCAACTGTTCTTTCATCACCAGCTGCTTTCTCCACGGAAAGGATCTGTTTGTTCCCGTTTAATTATGCATCCGTTTAATTATGCATATGTACAAAAATTTGATGTTCGAAGATTTATATGTTTTTTTTTTTTCACTTTATTTTTGTCAAAAGTTTAATAGTATTTGTTAGTGCTTTTATTTCAATCATGTCTTCCACTTTGTGTTTGTGATTTTTTTTTTTAAATTTGTTTTACTAATAATTGACTTGGAGTTTAATGTTGTGTTTTTATTCAACATTTGGACCTTGAAATTGCATCAAAACATTTCCTCTCTTGTGTGGATGCATCAATGGAAGATGATGATACTCTGCACTTTACTACAGAAAATTTATGCACGATTGTTTATAAATATTTATCCCTAACTCTGCATCTAAAAGAAAAATATTGGTGGTAAAACTAGAATATTTTATCACAACGGATATTGTTAATTTTCTCCATTGTTTTATCGGAATGATTAAGGAAATAATAAGGATTAGATGAATTTCTTTTCGGTTGTTTATGGTTAGATAATGCACTTGATGGAAAAACTTTTATGTTGATGAACACTTGTATATAAATTATTAAAAGACAAAGTTTAGATGATTAATTAATTATGAAATAAAAATTTTAAAGGTTTTATAATATTAATGATTATCTTCTATCTATTATTGTTGTTTGCACTTATTTAAGGCATTTGTTATTATATATGTTCAGGCAATGAATTGATGTTAGCTAGTGGTATTAGGTAATTCTTGCAAATCATGAGGGAAACGTTACATCTCAAGTTAAAGGGGTTTAGACACTCTTGCTAGATAGAGATGCTCATTATTGCTGGCCATCAATTTCTTTGCTTTTTGAAAGCCTAAAAGATGCTCATGGATGGCTTTTTTTTTTTTTTTTTTAATGATGAATCTAATTATATATTTGAGTGCAATAGATTTACGAATGTTACAAGCAATATTGAAAATGAATTTTCACCAAACTCGACTACCCTATTGATATTTTCTAAATATTGTAATAAGCCTTTAATGGAGAATGGAAAGCTTTTTAATAGCATTTTAAAAGCATTACAATTGTTTTCTAAATATCAAAATAAGCATATGTAATAGCATTTGTTGTAAATATTATAACAAAAGTTGGTATAGTTCTATAATGATGTTTATTTTATACTAATTGGTTATACAATAGTTTTCTAAATATACAATATGCATGGTATCACGTTAGGTTAGACAATCTTAGACACAAAAGTTGGTGTAGATGTATAGTGATTTTTATTTTATATAATTGATTGTACAATAGTTTTCTAAGTATACGATAAGCATGCATGGTATCAACATTTTTGATAAATATTGTAGCAAGCCGTAGCCTTATTAAGTTAGACAATCTTAACCACAAAAGTTTGTACAAGTCTGTAGTGATGTTTATTTTATACTAATGGGTTATATAATAGTTTTCTAGATATCACAAGAAGCAAGGTGTCAACATTTGTATTGTAGCAAGTGGCATAGTAGGTTAGACAATCTTAACCACAAATTTGTCGTATGGATCTATGGTGATATTTATTTTATCCTAACTGACTATAAAGTATCATAAATTTTTTCCAACTCAAACTCTTTGTTTAACTATCTCATTAATCAATTCGAAACAACAACTAATTACGTCCTGAAAGAAACACTTATAGATATATCTGAGTAATTAAAATAACAAGTGTTTTGAAAGCCTTAAAAAACAGAACAAGTATCATTATTTTAATGGTCAGTGGGATAAGGACTTAAATGCACCAAAATAATAATAATTGGGATTTGAATTAGAATAAAAAAAGGTTACGTATTTTTATTCTGTTAACTAAAATTTAGAGTAATTTATAAATAATTAGCCTTTGTTTTATCTCTTACAATGTATAATAAATATTGATATAGACCATTAATTTTTGTTATGAGTGAATTTTAAATTGATCTCAAAAGCTAATTATTTATTTACTATGATTTTAAATATATTTGTAACTTTTTTTTGTTATTTTTTAATGTATTGTGATTTTTTGTTTTAAAAAGTAAAAAAAGAAAAAGAAAAAGAAAAAGAAAAGTAAAAATATAGAAAAATTAATGAGAAAAGAAGACGTTTTGTGATATGAAATAATATTAAATTAAATGTGAATATCTGTTAAAAGATTAAATAATTAGTTTTTTATTTAAAAAAAGACTAATTATTTGTTTCTCGAAACTAGAAGAGCTAATTTATAATTTACTCTTTTTGTTCTAATCATTAATTGTAAAACTGGCACATTTGATATATATATATATATACCCCTTCTCTTATTGGAATGGTTGAGAAAACAGCAGTGAGGGACTACAAGAACTTTTGGATCGTTCATGGATAGATAAATGATGCAGCTGCTGAAGGTAAAACTTGTATGTTTGATGACACTTTTATCGAAATCTTTAAAATTGCCAACTTTAGAATGCTAGCAAAGGTAAATAAATAAAAAATTCAAAATAATAAAGGAGTAATAATTGTATACTTACAATATAAGCTTTAAAAAGAGAAATAAAAAAAATTACATGTAGATCCACCAAAAGTGATAAGAATAACTATTAATACTTATTATTGTATATTTACAATAGTTACTTAATGAGTCTTCTTTGAAAACAAAAATGACAAAAAAAAAAAAAAACATATTTGGATTCATAAAAAATGAAATGAATATTTCCATCTTGGATCAAATTTTTTTTAACAAAAATTTTTTTTCTCATATTTCTCTCTTCTCTTTGTATTTACCTCTCTCTTACATAGTAAGTATGGGTAAATTATAAACTAGTCCCTCTCTTTTTGAGAAATGAATTAATTAGTCTCTCTTATTTTAAAAACTAATTATTTAGTCTTTATGTTTTGAAATCTACTTATAATTTAGTTATTTTTGATCTTTTTTAATTTATTTTTTTAAGAAATATAAAAAGAAAAAAATATGAAAAGATTGATAAAAAAGAGAGATTTTATGAAAAAAAATTAAATTAAGCATTGTTAACACTAATTAAATGATTAAATAATAGTTTTTGAAACAAAAGAGAATAATTAATTTATTTCTTAAAACTAGAGAGACTAATTTATAATTTACTCGAATAAATATGGATAGTTACTCCATTATATATATATTCTTGTTAAATCACATATATTTGAAATTTAATAAAACAATAAAAGAAGTCCTTTCAATTCAAATTTAATGATCCATGGGCTATGGACATTTTATATGGTAGGGCTAGCTGTTAGCAAGTTTTTTATATATATTTTTTATGTTTATAATCAATTTTTACATTAATTGAAATTAAAATTTTTTTTTATTAGATTAGTATTGAATCAGGTTTAGATTTTGAACCATTTTCAAGGCCGGACTCTTTGGAGTACACCAACAATTCATATTTAAAATCAAACAGAAAAGATTGAGAAAATTTTCAAAGATGAGGATTAAACCTTTAATAGAATAAATCAAAAACATCTTCTTACTTACCATTTCACCAATAATCTTCTATTGTCAACCACATTATCTCCCCATAGTTATCATCCTGATCCTGCTGAACTTTCACGATCTCCCCATTTTTATTATCCTGATGCTTTTGGCGAACTCAAGTGCTACACGAATACTTGACATGAAGTCAATCATGCATGTTCCTCGTGATCATAAAATTATAGTAAAATTATCATTAAACCACACTAATTACAGTTCACACGTAGGCCATAACCAGCTCAAGTAATGCCACGCCGATGCATGACATCCAGCGAGTCATGCACGTTCCTCACACGGTGTGATGACGAAGGTGCAGCAAAAATATTATTAAACCGCACTAATTTCACATTTGACCACAAACTATTATTAAAGAAAAAAAAATCTGCTCTTATTTTCCTCTATTTAAACTGTAATACATCACTATACATTATGTGCTTCAAGGCAAAGTATTTTTTTAGATTAGCTCAAATTCAAGAAGAAGAGAGAGAAAAAGAGCTAGACAACTTTTCTAGGATCATGAACTCTGATCCTTTAAGAATGAGCTTCAAGCTCTCATTCCATGATGAGCCAGTGAGCAGTGAGCTTGAACAAATACTGACAGATACTGAAGCACCATACTTTAAGAGAATCCGTTCAGCTTCTTGGCTTGAACTGAAATTTCTTTTCCAGCTTGCAGCTCCGGCTGTGATAGTTTACTTGCTCAATAATGTTGTTTCCATGTCTACTCAGATCTTTTGTGGTCATCTTGGAAACCTTGAGCTTGCTGCTGTCTCTCTTGGTAACACTGGTATCCAAGTTTTTGCCTATGGCCTTATGGTAATACCTTCAAACTTTCTCACATAAATCATGGATAATCTTGATGATTCTCTTCCTTTTTATTCCATTTCCTTTTTACCCTTTGAAACTATATTTTCTAGAGAGAGAATATGGAATGATGCGCTTTTCTAGTGATATTTTTTTCTTGAAAACCTTTAGGGCCAAAGTTGGATAGAAAAAAAAAAAAAAAGAACAATAATTTGATGCACAACCCTCCATAAGTTAGTCTTCGTTCTTCTTCTTCTTCTTTTTTTTTTTTTTTTTTTTTTTTCCTTTTGAAAAAACAAACAAATAAGTGGGGTTAAAAATTTTCATACCTTCTATATCAAGTGAAGAATTCTCCCCTAGTTTTGTTGAACAAGTTTCTGTCTTTTATTGCAGCTTGGCATGGGAAGTGCAGTAGAAACTCTCTGTGGCCAAGCTTATGGGGCAAATAGATATGAAATGCTTGGCATATACCTCCAAAGATCAATCATTCTCCTCATGGCAACAGGTGTTCCTCTGATGTTTATCTATATATTTTCCAAACCTATCTTGATCTTACTTGGAGAACCAGTCAACATAGCATCAGCAGCTGCAGTTTTTGTCTACGGACTCATCCCTCAAATTTTTGCTTATGCTGCCAACTTTCCTATTCAAAAGTTCTTGCAATCACAGAGCATAATTGCACCTAGTGCATACATAGCACTAGGTGCGCTTGTGGTGCATCTTTTGCTCACTTGGCTTGCAGTCTTCAAATGGAACTGGGGCTTGTTAGGTGCAGGCCTTGTGTTGAGTTTATCTTGGTGGATCATAGTGTTGGCTCAGTTTGGGTACATTGTAACGAACAAGAACTGTAGAAACACATGGAATGGTTTTAGTGTGCAGGCTTTTAGTGGTCTTTGGAGCTTCTTCAAGTTGTCTTCTGCATCAGCAGTAATGTTATGTTTGGAGACTTGGTACTTTCAGATTTTAGTCCTCATTGCTGGATTGCTTGAAAATGCTGAGATTGCATTAGATTCACTCTCAGTTTGGTAAGTATTTGACTAGACATGGTTCTTTCAGGTTTTTTATGCATGGTTAACGTACTAGCAAGTTTTAATGAATAGTAGAGAAATTCGATGTAATTAGGAGTTTCGCTCTCTTTTACCGTTAATAATAACCACCAAGAGAAATGGTCTAATGGTAAGCGAATTGTCATGGTTTGCTAAAAATCAAGGTTCAATTCTCAATAACAACGGATAAGTCATAATAGACTTAAGCTGGTACTACTAAACCTGTTTTGACACTAAACTAACTCGAAAGTGGTAGATTAGACCTGGCAATCCCAAAAGTTTCGCAGATACGTACCCCACTCTTTATACAACGAATATATATATAAAGCATATTGCTTCTTCAGTTACCTTTAATGTAAGTGGCTGAATTGTTAACCCTATTATTCCTCTCCATTTGTAGCATGACAATATCAGGATGGGTTTTCATGATTTCAGTTGGATTTAATGCTGCTGCAAGGTCAGCTTTTTTCTTTTTGTTGTAAAAAAAAAAAAAAAATTAAGATAAAACCATTTATTTTACTGGCGCATGACATTAATTACAGGCAATTGACACTTGCTTGATTTTGAACAGTGTGAGAGTGAGCAATGAGCTAGGAGCAGGACATCCAAAATCAGCATCATTCTCAGTCCTTGTGGTGACTTCATGCTCATTTGTAATCTCAGTAATCGCAGCCATTATCGTGATCATATTTCGAGATTCCATTAGCTATATCTTCACTGAAGGTGAAGTTGTTGCTAAGGCTGCGTCTGATCTCTCTCCATATCTTGCTGTTACTCTCATTCTAAATGGCATTCAGCCTGTTCTGTCTGGTAAGAATCTTTACCTAGTATTTGTTTCTCTTGTTTTGTTTTGGTGTACCATTTAGCAAGCAGAAAAACTTCTTGTAAGGATAAAAAGTATCTGACTTCATATAAATTTGTCTGTTTCGAAGGGGTGGCTGTTGGGTGTGGATGGCAAGCATTTGTTGCTTATGTGAACGTAGGATGTTACTACATTATTGGTGTCCCACTAGGGGTGCTTCTTGGTTTTACATTTGACTTTGGTGCTAAGGTAATATCATGGCCTTGAATCAATTTCAGCCAAACGTAGAAAACAAAAAGTGGGACCAGTAGAATTATTTTTGTCCATTCAAGATACCTAATTTAGTGTTTACTGCCTTTTCTACAGGGAATATGGTCAGGCATGTTAGGTGGCACCCTTCTGCAGACTATAATTCTTTTGTGGGTTACTTTGAGAACAGATTGGAATAAAGAGGTAAACTCAAATCTTACGTTAATCTTCAATATTTCAAAATATAACTCTAATTAAATAACGTTACATAGTTAAATTGAATTTCATCTAAAAAAATTTAATTTTATAGTAGATAATGCTTTGTTTTTTTATGCATTCTATTAAATATGTTTTATAATAATTTTTCTTCACGTATAGTTTATTTTTTCATTTTTTCGGTCTGCTAAATAGTTTGGAATATTAAATTTTTGTTAAATCGTTAAATGTTTTTAAAATTTTAATATCATATTTAATTACATAAATAAAATTGAATTATATATATATATATATATATATATATATATAAACTTAATTAGTTTGATATGTGATCCATTTTTAAATATATAAATAATTTAAGTCGTTAATGAGATCCAGGCATCCAGCCTTCAAATCTGACTTATGATTTTCCTGATTATAAAAATAGATTCGCCATGTCCAAACCGAGATGATAAAATCACTTTTATTAATGTTACCTGGCCAGCCACACTGGACTGCAATCATAGTTTGTCGTTTAACCATTTATGTCTCCTGCTCTCGAATCCATGTATCCAATCATCATACCACTCTTTCTATGTTTTCCCATGATCCAATGTTTGACATTATATTTGCAGATGTATGATATAATATTTATGCCATGCTTTCTTAAATATGTCCGCTTAGTTTTTCAAAACAAATTAAACAGTTCTTTTAGTTTTAAAAATTAATTACTTGGTCTTTATGTTTTAAATCTAGTAACTTACTTTTTTTTTCAATTTATTTTAATTTTTTGTTTTAAGAAATAAAAAAAATTGATGAGAAAAAAATATATTTTTTAATAAGATAATATTAATTTAACTATAATCAATACCGGTCAAGGAACTAATTAATTAGTTTAAAAAACAAGAGGGATTATTTAATTTATTTTGTAAAACTAGAATGACTAATTTATAATTTAATCCCGCTCCTCATCACAAGAAATTAACTGCTATGTAAATTGAAGCTCATTCTTATATTTGATTAATGCAATGAATAATCTAATTTATATTAAAATATTCTTAATTTTTAGCTAAAAAATAAAATGATCAGTAACAATTTGTGTCTAAATTTCCAGGTGGAGAGTGCCAAAAACCGGTTGAGTGCATGGGATGACAAAAAGCAGCCTCTTCTGCTGGAATAGAGTGGATTTTGTGAAGTTTGAGGCTTGGTTTTGAACTTGGGACTCGATCATGTTCTGAAGATAATGATTTTTTTTGGCCTTCTAGTCCAATTTAATTTTGCAATTGATAGATTAGATAAAATAACATTTATATATATATATATATATATATATATATGATCTACTTTATTTTTATTTTTATTTTTTCTGAATTAATGTTGTTGCAGCACTTTGCATAATAATTTTTCAGAACTCAAAGGATTGAAATGCGAAAAATAATGTTCTGAATGACAAACTTTCGGTGGAATGTGTTTATAAGGGTGATGAGTTTTAAAGAAATGGGTTATGACACTTGTATTTTTATAAGAAAAAAGGATTTTTGAGCCAATATTGCAATTATGCAGTTCAAGAAAACCTGACTAATAATCCACAAGGTTAGCATATTTGTAAAGGACTTAACATATAGCTAGAGATATCTTACTTTGCAAGTTAGGATCGGTTAGATTCTTAATTTCTTATGTTCATAGCGAAGGAAATTCAATTGCAGATATATAGTCTTGCTAAGCAAATTCTTTAGAGTTTTATTATTATTATTATTATTATTTTAGCCACTTTCTTGCTGGCTTCTCCTTTCTGTTTAATATAACTTCCATTTTCGTTAAAAAGAGAGAGAGAGAACCATGCCAATAATGTTAAGGTTGAGGGTGATGATGATGGTGATGTTTGATGAATAGGGGATAAAGCTGTTTTTTAAGATGATTATAGTCTATTATTGAAAAAAAGACAAATTCATATCTTAGCCCCAACTTACCAAATCCTGGTAATTTATTGCATTCCTTGATGACTTATTAATGTTTTTATCGAACATGTTAACTTGGGCAAACATCATGTGAAAACGAAGTGTCTTAAGATTATTAGAAAATACACCCAATTTTTAAGTCATAAATGCGATCTCTTTCTACACCAAGGGTAATTTGATATCATTTGATGTTTTTGTTTTCAAAATTTTGAATCTTTTTACAATTTTTTTTTTAAAGTTTTTGTTTAAAAAAAAAAACCAACAACTACTGACATATTTTTTGAATTCCCTTTTTTTTAGTTTTGAAATTTTTTTTACTATTCAATGTTGGTTCTCTTATGTTTTTTTGGAATAAAAAACTCAGTTAAATAATTTTTTGTTGGGAAAAAACCTTATTTGAACCAAAAATTACAAACCACAAGTTTCAATTTTTTTTTCCTTTTTCTAAATTAAATTAGAATCAACTTATCAATAATAAATAAACACAATCAATATGCAATTTTTTTTTTTCGTGGAAAGCCTGATATACGTGGAGTAAAAGTCATGACATCATATTTTACTCAAACTCTTTTATTTCATCAATAATGAGATATAATTTTTTTTATATGCTCAACTAAAAGATACAAATCAAAGAATTAAAATAATTATCACAAAGATGGATTTCATATATAACAAAAAAAAAAAAAAAAGGTTTAGATCTCGCTAAATAGGTGTTTAGAAAATATTTAGACGTAGAAGTTTCTTATGGATCAACATTGTTTAAGTTAAAGAATCATACAATCAAGCCAATAAAAATGAAAAGCAACCTCTCTCTCTGTTTTGCAAGGAAAATTTTCTCTCTCTCTCGTTTCTATTTGTTGCCGGTTGCTACACTTTTTGTTTGAGTAAATTACGAATTAGTCCTCTAGTTTGAAAAAAATGAATTAATTAGTTTTTTTTTAAAAAAAAATTATTATTTAATTTTTTTGATTAATAGATCATATTTAATTTAATATTATTTTTATTCTACAAAAATTTTTATTTTCTTATCAATCTTTTCATACTTTTTCATATTTTTTTTATTTTTTAAAAAAGATCAACTAAAAAATAGCACAAACAACTAAGTTATAAATAGAATTATAAATATAGAGACTAAATGATTAGTATTTAAAATAAAAAATAATTAATTTATTTCTCGAAAGGAGAGGGATTAACTTAGAATTTACTCCCTTTTGTTGATAATGGTGTGCTGTATACTGGCTGTTATGATGAAACACTTAAAAATGTCCAAAAGTTGCGACCTTTATCATATTCACGTGACCGGCATTTGATTAGGGAGTTTTTTTTTCCTCATTTTGTTTTATTTTTAATTACTTATTTACATAGATTTTAGACCCCATATTAATAAAGAGCTAATCCAATAGTTTTGTATTTATGTTTTCAAATTTTATTTTTAAAAAACAGAAATGAAAATGATAAGAATTTTTTTTTTCGTTGCTATTAACAAGTGGATTAACCTTATTAGGGTTTTCTAGGACTTTTTTTTTATTTTTTATTAATGAATGGTATGAAACTGATGTTTGAAGGTCTCCGCATGCATGCTGCATCTCTTGGATTAGGAAGTGGTCAATATATATTTTTATTTTATTTTATTGACTTTTAGGTGTATTATTATTATTTGTCCAACTGCTCTTTCATCACGAGCTCTTTTGTCTTTGGAACGCAACTGTTGTTATCCTTCAATTATGTCACTATAAAAAGATGTTTGATAGATTTTTATGTTTTTTATTCACTTCATGTTTGTCCAAAGTTTAGTGATATTTGTTCAATACAGTTATATCAATCATGTCTTCTATTTTGTGTTTTTTGTGTAATTTTTTTTGTTAATAACTGACTTAGAGTTTAATGTTGTGTTTTTATTCAACACATGGACCTTGAAAATGCATTAAAACATTTCCTTGTATACTAGATAGAGATGCTCATTATTGCTAGTCATGAATCTCTTTACTTTTTGAAAGCCTAACAAGATGTGAATTGATGTTTTTTTCTTTTTTTTAATAATAATGAATGTAATTATATATTTTATTGCAATAGACTGATGAATGCTACAAGCAATATTGAAAATTAATGAAGTTTCAATATTGTAATAAGCCTTTAACCGAGAATGGAAAAAGCCTATTAATAACATTTAAAACATTACAACAATTTTCTAGATATCACAATAAGCATGGTATCAACATTTGTTGTAAATATTGTAGCAAATGCTAGCCACATTATGTTAGAAAATGTTAGCCACAAAAATTGGTATAGGTCTGTAGTGATGTTTGTAATAAAAATTAGAATATTACATAGTTTTTCCTTTTTGTGATTTTTAGATGTTTTTATGAATTTCTAGGATTTTAATTTCTTAGAATTATTTTCTATTTGCAATTAAGAAAAAAAGAAAAAAAAAAGAAGGTAAATATTGATTGAGAAGATGATTTGAGATCCAATTGAAAATAATGTGAAAAGCGAGGATCAAGTGATATTCAATTAATGATATAATTGGAAATGGATAAAAATTAAAAAACTTGATTGAGAATTAATCAATGCAAAATTTTAATAAAAAATCAAGAGAATGGAGATTAAATAATTTCAGTAGAGGACTTAATTGGAGACAAATAATAACATATGCATTGAAATTGACAAAAATAATCCAAGAAATGACCTAAATTGATTTTATACCAAATCCCAAAAGAAATCCCTAGACAAACACCCTTTTCACCTCATCTTAGGAGCCTTCATCACCCATCTACCTACCTAAAAAACCCTAGCCACAATATCCATCTTTCTACCAAAAGAGAAAAAAAAAAACCTAGCCTTCATCACTTATCTTCCCAACAAAAACCCTAGCCTCCATTACTCAACCTAAAAAAAAGAACCTACCCACAAAAAAATATAGAGAAGGTGCAACTATTTTTCTTTCCCTAAAACAATATAAAAAAGGACACGATTCCACAAAAAGAAAAAAAGAAAAAAAGAAGCCCCTAAGGAGAGGACCGGATCCGTCAACCCACGGGTTGAAAACACCCATCAACATTCCCCCTCAAATTGACCGTCCTCCACCTCTAGTTGCCACCACCAATCGATAGTCTACAAATAAATTCACCATTCTCGATCGCCTAGGGAAGAAGAAGTCACCAAAATGGATCAAAATCAAGAAGATAACCACAACGACCAAACCCAAATTTGTACCCGTTAATATCATCATTTTCGATCAAAACAACACCCTCACCATCACATAAGTGCCTCTCAAGTGTCCATAAACCATTCTCCTCTTGTAATTGTGGAATAAAACATGTGAATCATCATTGATTGGCCGAAATTGATTTCTTGACTCGTTTAACACAATCCAAAAAAATATCTCCGACTAGCCAAATCGAACCTCCTAACCACCAAGAAATGTTCTCGACGATCCTTTAAGTAGGTTGCTTGGTCTCCCCTTATCTCATCATGGTCGAAATCTTCATTGGAAAGAAAGGTGAAACAATTAAATCTTCAACGACGTCGATCTCCCTTTTCTTTTAGTGGAGACAACTCGCCACCATCATAGAACAATCAATAAGGATCTCCTTCAGCATACGGACTAGTAGACGCACCTTAAAGACATCGAATATTGATCGGAGCAAGTGGTTACGAGTGTTGGGGCTTTTGAGGGATAGTTTGGTAATTTACATATAGAGAGCATTTTGGAAATTTTTCCTATAGGCATTTTGGTCATTGCCTAGTGACCATTTGATTTGTTTTCTCACTTTTTTAATTACTTGATGATGCTATTTTTATAATAATGATAATTTTATTTATGTTAGAAAACTTAGAAACATTTATGTTGTAAAATTTATTTTAATGTATAAAGTTGATTCGGTTGTGATGTTGGACCAACGAATCTCCTATTTATTAGAGACGAATGTTGGTTTGATACATTTGTCAAGTGTTAAAAATGATTAAAAAAAAAAAAAGAGTCAAGTTGGTTCAAATTTTATTCATCATTTCACGTAAATACTTTTAGTTAATAAGGTCGTTCCTCGACATGCCAATTGTGTCGAACTTTATTTCAAATCCAATACTAAATTAGCGAGACTTTCAAATCTTGGGACTCGACATTAATTTAATATGATGTTGTTAATGAAAAAGATAAAAAAATGATTTTTGATAATGTTTTTCCCATATATCTCAAAATAAAACGCTTTTAATTTAATTAAAG